AGACACTGAAGCGGCTCAAAGACGTGTTGCGCAAACACTCAGACGCATTTGCATGGCGCAGTACCGACTTGGGTCGAACCAATCTCGTGAAACACCGTATCGACACCGGTGATGCAATCCCGATTAAAATCCCCCCAAGACGCATACCATTACATTGGCAGACTGAATTGCAAAGGCTCATAGATGACATGATAGAAAAGGAGGTAATACGGCCCTCGACTTCACCATGGGCAGCCCCGGTTGTTCTAGTGAAAAAGAAGGATGGTGGTTTCCGCCTATGTGTTGACTATAGACGATTAAATGAGATTACTCGAAAAGACGCTTTTCCCCTCCCCAGGATCGATGATCTATTTGACGCACTGGGAGGATCAGTTTATTTCAGTACGCTAGATTTGGCTTCTGGCTACTGGCAAGTAGAAGTGGAGGAGAGCGACAGAGCGAAGACGGCGTTTGTAGTACCATCAGGTTTTTATGAGTTCCAGACCATGCCTTTTGGCCTCTCTAACGCCCCTGCGACTTTTCAACGACTAATGCGGAAAGTGTTACACGAATTGATGCCCCACAAGTGTCTCGTTTACCTGGACGATGTCATTGTACACGGAAAAACAAAAGACGAGCACCTAAACAACTTGGCGGAGGTGCTAACACGCCTAGTAAATGTGGGCCTCAAACTCCAGCCCACAAAGTGCCATTTACTACAGACCGAGGTAACGTATCTTGGGCACGTCATTTCGGGGATGGGGATTCGTACTGACCCTCGTAAGACGGAGCAAGTGAGATTATGGCCAACCCCTGCCAACGTTGATGAACTACGCAGTTTTTTAGGGTTAGCCTCATACTATCGGCGATTCGTGAAAGGGTTCTCAGAGATCGCTGCGCCTTTGAATACCTTGTTACAGAAAGGTAAAACCTTCGAATGGACCGTTGAGTGTCGAAATTCATTCGATCGGTTACGAGAATCCCTTTGTGAAGCTCCGGTGTTGGTTTTCCCCGATCTGTCACCAAATGCCGGGGAGTTTATTCTAGACACGGACGCGAGCGACCAGGCGATTGGAGCTGTTTTGTCACAGAAAGGGCAGGACGGAATAGAACGAGTGGTGTCGTACAGTAGTAGAAGCCTTACGTTAAGAGAAAGAAATTACTGTACGACAAGGAAAGAAATGTTGGCGTTGGTGTTTTTCATAAAACAAAATCGGCACTACCTTCTAGGAAGAAAATTCTTAGTACGGACTGATCACCAATCACTCAGGTGGTTGCAAAACTTCAGGGACCCTGAGGGGCAGATTGCTCGATGGCAGGAGCAACTACAGGAGTATGAGTTCGAATGTCACCATCGGCCTGGGAAACTACACGGCAACGCGGACGCGCTATCGAGGATTCCGTCTCGAGATCATGGAAACTGTCCTTCCTGCATTACGCAACACGTAGCGCTAGTCAACCTACAGAAAGCCGAGTATGGTCGTTGGCAAGAGGCACAGGCTTCGGACCCAGACATTTCACTCATCTACCATGCGCGGCGCTCGGGAAGGGACAAACCAGCTCCGAAAGAAATGGAAGGGAAAAGCTACGAAGCTCGGTGCTTGTGGGCGATGTGGGATAAACTCGCCATCGAAGAGGGTGTGTTGGTCTTTGATTTCGGCCCCACGTTCCTGAGGAGGATCGTTGTTCCACAGGCGTTAGTTACCGAAGTGCTGTCGGAACTGCACCAACAGCTGGGACACGCTGGAATCAATAAACTCGAATCGGCGGCGCGTCAACGATTTTGGTGGCCGCACCAACGAAGAGACATTGTCAACTTCTGCCAAACTTGCGAAAGATGCGCGACGTTCAAAAATCCGCCTATTGCTCATAGGGCACCATTACAATCCATGACAGCAGGTTACCCGAATGAAATAGTTGGAGTAGACCTCGTTGGTCCACTACCGGAAACGCCGAGAGGGAATCGCTACATTCTAGTCATGGTAGACTACTTCACCAAATGGTGCGAAGCCGTGCCAATCGCGCAGGCTGATACTCTCACTGTGGCAACAGCGATGATTAACCACTGGGTTTGCCAATGGGGAGCGCCTGGGCAATTGCATTCCGATAGGGGATCATGTTTCGAAAGCTCACTGGTCCAGGAGATGTGCAGAGTACTCGGTATTGATAAAACGCGAACGACGGCCTACCATCCACAAGGGAACGGACAAGTTGAACGTACGAGTCGGTCGTTGAAGTCACTCTTGAAGGCGTTCGTGGACCAGAACATTTACGAGTGGGACACGTTATTGCCTAAATGCTTATTGGCCTATCGCAGTACGGTCCACTCTTCTACCGGACAAACGCCGTCGTTTATGTGGACGGGTAGAGAAGTTCGGTTGCCCTCGGATGTCCGATTACCGAGATCACAACAGGTATACCCGTCGGTTGTTGAATACGTCAGCAAACTCCTCGACTCCGTTCGACGCACACACGAAGCGGCACGCATCCATTTGGCGAACGCTCAACGGCGACAGAAGGAATACTACGACAAGTAGGTCTTCGGTGTCCCGTTGAAAGCAGGCGACCTCGTATATTTGCATCAGGCACCGGTATCCGGAATACCAGCGAAACTGCATCGTGAGTGGGCTGGCCCCTACGTGGTAGACCGAATAATTTCTGATCTGACTTGTGTGATTAGGGACCCAAAGAACGCCGTTGGGCCGCCCATGGTCGTACACTTTAATCGGCTTAAACCTTTCCATATCGAATCTGAGCATTCGGATGAGGAACATCACAATGAGCCACCGACAGAAGTAGCCACCGAAGTTGAAGTACCAGCTCAAGGGGGCTTTGGTGTGGCAACGGGGACGTTGCCTATATAGAAGGGGTGCGGTGTAAAGAGTGATCGAAACTAGTTTGGCGCTTGTTTGAATTTAAATCGTTGCTCTGACGACAACTTTTCTGTCTGCCTTTCAGAAAGACACTCCTGCGCCATTATTGAAGAAGGACAAAAACCTGAAGCGAACAGTTGACTGTAACTTTTCTTTCATCCCTTCCTACGTTACTGATTCTTTCTTATAGAGCCTACGTGTTGCGTAATAGAACTTACGTCTCAATCCTTGTGGTTCTCCCTTGTCTGCATTCTACACGAACGCTTTGCGATCCTACCTTACGACTATGTTAGCCTACACCCGGCTCACCACATCCCCTCTCGGGAAACTACGATGATGATGTTCGCTCCCAGTCACTCTATTTATACCTCTCCGTTTCTAGCTTATCACTAATACACTCCGATGAGTCCGACCTAACTGCCTTCTTTCATCTGCGCTCGATTACGCGCTCCTTCTCGAGCTAGTATTTACTAGTCCTGTAATACGTTAAACCAAGGCACCTTTCACAATAGGTCCCACTTTTAGGATCATTACTCACCTTTGATGTCGATTATCGTGATGTGTAGTTTACGTTTTTTGTAAGACCTCCCATCTGATTCGGTATTACTCCGGATAGTTTATATGGCTAGCGTTTGCTGTGTAGTTGCGCAACCGCTGTAGACCTTATGTTCGCCCCCATATTACTGATTTTTCTTTTTGGCTCTTGCTTTGTAATATTAGTGTTTTCGAAGGTCAACACAATGCATGTGATCTATCGCACTATTTCTTTGCACCATAACGAGCATTTTCGTACATTCTCACTACCCTCGTAAATGTAAATCATGTATTTTTCAAATTATGCTGACCTAAGTAGTTTGGCTACTGGCAATACCTTGCGGTGAAGACATCTATATCGCATTATCTGACTGACAGTTCACAATGATCGCCGGTGAATTCGGGGCAGTCATTTGGTGGTTAATTAAGTATGATGCAAAACTTTGGAATGTTTTTCGGTTTGGTGGTCTTCTTTCTCAGACGCACTTTATCAATGTACAGCTGCAACACATTCGTCCCTACATATAGAAAAGCTATACTCAGCCCATCTTGCAGGCCTCTTGTGCGGTTGGGGTTCAACCCTTACTGACTTTAATCTACCTGAAACAAACACATATCGCGGTTTCGGCATTCACTTTTTGCTGGGTTGATTCTAGCTGTGGTCTATGACTTCGGAAGTACGTTGACGAACTTTTTTGCACTTGGCAACTATCTCTGCCTGACTATTGGAACAATATTATATCGTTTGGAACAAGTCGACGGGTTTATGATTTGCTCACTGCACGATGAGTACTGTGAACTTATGCCCTCTCAATACGCTTTGTATAATAATACATTAGAAACAATGGTTTTTATCTAATTTACTGAGCGCCGTATGTCTACAAAACCACACTAACTTACCGAAACCACACTTGTTTTCACCATTACCTGTTTAGCTTCCTCGAATGTTCTCACGCGTCTTAATCTTAAATATAAATTCCGACTGAATTTTGTTAAGCTGACGAAATTTTTTCAGCTAAATATCGATCTTTTCTGACGGTTTAACTGCCAGCTCGAGCATCTATTTTTATTAACCTATACCATGTGATCAATGAACCAATTGTTCGCAGTAGTATAACAAACACTTGTCGAAGTACGTGTCGAGGGATCGGGTCAGTGTCTCATTAGTATTAGTTAATATTTTATCGTTAGTCTATCGACATCCACATTAAATGCAGAATACTATATTCCTGTGGTATCGCTACATTCATTTCAGATACAAATTATAATGTGCCCACAATTCTCCGCTTTATTATTTTCGCGCAAAACTACTGTTTTGTTATCGAAGCCTGGTATGTTTGTCTAATGGTTTCTTATAAGACTCTTGCGGTAAAGCTCACGTAACAATCTGTCTGGCATACTGTGCCAAGCCATTGAACAAATTCCACTTAGCTCAGTTTTCTACTCGTTATTTATTTGATTCACAAGGCAACATAACGAGTTCGTACCTACCATATTGCTGTGTAAAGGTGCATTTTATAAGCGCGCTGCTTCTGCGTAACTACTCTTGTCAAATCGTTAGTATGCATGGGTCATATTTGCAACTGCATAATTGTAACTGCGTTTTTAACTTACCTGCCCGAACATCGCCATGGTTGATTCCGCTGCCGGATGTCCAAACAATAGGTGATACAAAATAATGATAAGTATTACACAGCACTGTGTTATAAATGCTACTGTGATTAGTACTTGGACGGCAATCAGCCAATATGGGTCAAGCCATTGCCATATACCAATTGTGAAAAAGAATCCGTCGAATATCCAATAACAGCCTGTTAGCACGTTTGCATGATAGTCCTTTTAAGGAGTTAGATTTATATTTACCTTACCAGTGGATGTACAAATCGGTCGAAACATACAGACCAAATACCCATATGAAGAAAGTTACTGTGGACCCTATCGTAGGATTGGAGCCAGTAGGGACTGGAGAAAGAAAGGAAGAAAAATAAAAAGCCAATCACGGTTGCTATACATGCCGCATAGAACGGCATGTACATCTGAGTAAGGTGATAGTCCTTGCCCATTATCCGTGGGACCGGAGAAGTCGCGGTATCAAAAGCCAGAAATACTGGTGAGGTTTGACACTGGGTTGAAGTAACACTTAGTATTAGGATCTGTTTTCTTCTACCTGCCTTACAAACCTAAATTCCAAAGTGAATACCGAGTATATATATTATTATGGAGTTATATTTCTGGTTAGGGTTAGCGCTATACCCTGGTAATCATACTATTGTTTCCTCACTGATGTGGGGCATTGTGTCTAATGCCAAAAGAACCCGTACCATGTAATGAGTAGATGTAAAACCCATAAGCACAGTATGTTTCTTCGATGGCTACCAGGAGGAATAACAAATGTGAGATATATGTGACGTACATTGATCATGCCTCGCGCCCCTCCGAGTATATATACTTAGTTGGTGGACCAGAACAGCGCGTCCACCTTTCGAATTCCCGCGGCCCGCGAATACTTCGGCGCCATTTTCCGTCCTTGGGAGAATCATAACATTGCTATTTATTTCTGCTGGTTTTCTCAGCAGAAAAACACGTCAATATTTGCACACTGTTTCCAGAATAATTGGCTAAAATCGAAATTCGTTTGATACTTAGACGTCCACCCGAGCTTCTAGCTTGTCATATTGTTTTGATCTTTGGCTGAAATATCGTAGAAATCAGTGTTTGAATAAGCACGGGAACAGAATTTGACTTTGTTCAAACTCAGCTCAAATCAAAGAGAAATAATGTTATCCAAGGTTTTGGATGCAGCCAAGTAACCACCAGCTGCTCAAACTCCCTGCGGAGCAAAACCTGCAACGGCTGGCCGCAACCTGCCAGTAGCCATGTCGAAGCTAATTTGTATGAACTTCTCCTACGAAATTACTCCTCGGTTGTCCTTTTCCTTTGTGACAAGCGGCTGAGGCAGATAAGCGTCTCGGGAGCATTTCAACCATGCTCAGCATTTTTGCCCACGCACAGAATAATTTTCGGACCCCACCGCTATTTGCCTTGTCCAGTTCGGCGACGGCGCCTCCCAGTCATAGTAGAGACTTCATCTTCGGTGACCACGGTACGTAGCAGACGTTAAACCATGGCGAGCAATCCTACTGTGTAATGTAGCCGGGTCATAGCTGTCTCGCTTTTGGGAGTCCCTAACGACTGCTGGTGACAGCAATGATCATAATCCCAAACGTAGGTAGCTGTGCTAAGCATTGGCGCAGCCGCATCCTCTGGTAGCCGGAGCGCAACCGTTTAGCAAAAAGATTCTGAAGTACAACTAGGTTAGAAGCAGAGCCAACCCTTCCTCATTCCCAACTAAAACAAGTTTTTAACTGAGTATGCCATCTAAAATACCTGAGTAACAAGGACCCGCTTTCTAAGCCGCTAGCTCATGTGAACAGCACAAATCGGGATCAATGCTTACACCTGATGCACGTTCCCGAGGCAAATAAGTATACTGTCTCTGCTAGAACGCTTGACGACCAGTACTTTCTAGAACGAATGGTTTTCAGGCTGTTCGACAACGTCAATATAGGCATCTATATTGTTTTTGTTTCAGTTTAGCAAGAAACAAGTAGACCGTTCGTATATTCGTCTCCAGAAGCTTACCTGCTAGAAGAAAGATGAGTGCCGCCAGATTATCAGACGGATTTTAAGTCTCAGTGGGGCCTTCATGTATCTACTTCGAGAACTATTTCCTGAAGACCAGGTCAGAATGAGGAATGCCGTGGAAAAGCTACGGAGAAGTCTGGCGAATGGTGAAGTTAATTTTCACCTTGTGGATCCTCGCGTGGTACTGGAAGCACAGAAATGTCGATGAAAATTTATTTTCGTCATCCCTATGCATCATGGTCAACGAGTGGGCTGCAAGCCTTAGCTTCCAATGTGCGGGTCATAAGTAACACACTTGATGAAACGCAAACTCCTTGCTTCAGCGAAACCACTTATTTTCGTAGCTTTCATAGAGATTTGGTTATCTTCGGACAAACTACACTCTGAGTTGTGAATTGCCTGGTGTTACTTCTCTCTGGTCGACTGTGCTGTAGCTCCATCTAAGGATGGTGTGATGCGGTACAGTAAGGAGTGATTCAGGACACATCCTGTGGAGGCAACCTGCGGCTACGATTATGCTTCCAAGGTTTCCTGGTGTATGGTCCCTTGTAAGCTCCATTTATATAGCGGTTGGGGGCCGGAACGTGCGTACCTTATTCGATACAGCAACACAGCAGGGTTAAAGGCTGCGTTATAACAGGAGAAGTTACTGCTGCTACTATTGATTAAGATCTGCTCCACTGTTTTCTCTTTATATTCTTACGATTCCTTTTTCCTCTAAACTATTCGTGCATGTAATTTGTCCAGCAGGTTGCAATGTCCACAAGACTATATCCAAATCAGACTCCACACATATTAGATATCGTACACTCACCGTTCTAGGTAGCTTGTCCTCCTTGACTGTACTACAACCTATTGACAGAAGAGAACATTGTATTGTTTCTTTTGCATAGACATGCGTTCTTACCATACATGACCAGAGGGTGTACCGTCGGAACTTCTGGCGTGCGAAACTACAATATCTGAGACTTGCTGCATGTACTCTAGGGTAGCGTATTCTCGTACATCTGGACGCAGACGACGCCTGGGACCACGTTGACTGAATATCGTAATCAATCATAAAGCAAATAGCCACTATCTGTCAAAGGACACTTTTCCAACGGCCCCCTTGGTTCGTTCATTAGGATAAGAGCCTTACGAACAGACGACGCAGGTTACGGGCTGGAATTAAGTCTACACTAGCGGTTTTACACTACTCAAACTGCAAGGTGGTTTGGAATATTTAGGCGCAAATGGAAGACGAGGAACGAGAACTGTACGAACTGCGTTTGGCGGTAGATTCCAAGATCACTACTAAACTACTCTTCTCAACCCTGACAAGTAGTAGTGGTAATCGTGGTAGTAGTAGTAGTAGTAGTAGTGGTGGTAGTAGTAGTGGTAGTAGTAGTGGTATTAGTAGTAGTAGTAGCAGTGCAGTTGCCCTCCCTGACTTCTTACATTCCTACCAATTTAAGATTTGGACAACGCATCCCTGTCGCTTCTTCTGATTGATATTCCTGCCCAAAATCTGCACACCTCGTCCTCCTCTCTCTGGTTCCCACCGATAGAACATACGCGCATTAGGACCCCTCAAACGCTCTTTGCTTTATATTCATTCCTAATTTGAAACAATTTTTTTCTTGCTCTATGGCTCCGTGTTCTGCTCACATCTTGTCGTATTTCTCCAATTATGATACAGTGTAAATGCCATATTTAAATACCAATTACATATATAGGGGTGCAATAGTTCAGTCATCGCCGTAATTGTTGGACTGCATTCCAGGTGCATTCCTTGCTTCTGTCTGCGTAGCTGTCTTCGTTCGTTTCCTTTTTCCTCGCGTTTGTCGCAGATAAGGCGACACGCACCCAAGGAATTGTATATCATTGCAACAACAATACAAGGCACAAAGTTCCTTTATCTGGACATGAGCTGAAGATCATCACTCCTTTTTACAAGATACTAACTGGACAAATCATTCGTTATCTCGCACGGATACAATGTCCTCGAGGCTTGAACAATTGGGTTACGTTTTCCTAACACCATCTCTTCCACAATTCTCTTGCCTGGAGCACTCCTTTTGACTTGGGAAGGCATATTCTCCTGCCGACACAAAGCCAGAACAATTGGTCATTCTGAGCCCTTCGATCCGCTTTGACCGCTCAATTGGCCGTGGTTCCCTGTATTTTTAATCGATCTTGCTATATCTCCCGGGGTATCTGCCATTCTCTTTTCGGAACCGTAACAACAACAGTTCATCCTCTTTCAATGTATATCCTCGGAGACTTCACGTGGTTCTGCAGATGAGCAACACATCATATACAAAAGGAATATTTAGTTCCTTACTTAACAATCGGGCACAGCCATTCGTTCAAAACAGGACAGAACACAGGAACGCAATAGGCACTTGCCTAACGCATCAGCCAGCAGAAAAATGGGACGCTTACCTTAGAATAACCGAGCAAACAAACGTTTAACAAGAAACATAGCCGGTTACAACTCGCCATCCAATGGATCAGAAGCAATGTTTTGGGACGTGGTGGGTATTCGCCTGGCTTGCGTTCTCCCTATAAGAAGCCACAAATGTCTGTTTAACAACACTGCGACGTGGCCAATGTGACTCGACGCCGGATAAAGTCACAGCTCAAAGGTACACACCGGCGGGTCAACTAGCGTCACCATTCTAGTCAGGTTCTTTACACTGGAACATCTACATTTGCGTATACGGTCGTCTCCTCTTTCTATCATTTCATGCATATACTGTCCTCTTTTTACTTTCTGCGATATCACCGTTGACCTTTGCGTTACTTATGCACGAACTCACTCTAATGTCATATCCCTTACGAGCGTGCTCTTCAATTAACTTCCAATGGATCATTCCAGATTCTCAAGTTATTATTATCCGAGGTATGATTGCAATGTATGGCAGGCTAATTTTGTCCTAAAACGGGTCTCAATCTCACGATATCCAACTTATTGTCTCGTATTTCCCCATTGTAAAGTTCCAATCATGCACACATGAACCATTTTCTACTCTCACTGTTACAGTTGCCATAAAATGCCTGTACATTTGCGCTTACCTGATCATGCCTGCATGGGCGTGCCTCACATATTCGAGAAAAATTATTTATTTATTTATTTATTTATTTAGTAGAAGCGGTAGTAGTAGGATAACTGCCCAATATCCTGGAAACACTTTTACATTACTGCATGAAAGTGACGCAAAAGATTTGCTGTTTTCCTTTGGGCTTTCACTGGAGTGCTATTAGCCTGCGGCTAGTATCACTCCACCCTTATGCCGGGGCATATTGAGCTTAGTGACGAATTGGTTATGCGACTTCACCGGGTCCCGATGAGCTGCACTCTATGTTCCTCAAGACAGTGGCTCAGTGTTACGTGTTCAACCAATGATCGCTCACTATTACCGTGAACCTGATTGGCCCTACACACACACGTAGATAAGCACGCACACACGCACTCAAGGACACACCCTAACGTTCCGTGATCATATGTTAACCATTAAGTGTTCAGTACACTGTGCGCTAGACGGACGCGTCTTCTTGCTTAATCGCTAAGAGTTGAAATACGTACTTGCGGTTAGAGTCCAGTTGTGATATCTGGCGACTTGGTCAACATGTCCGTGACAAATACTCCACCGGTCTTCTGGTCGTACTCTAC